CTGTGAGCTAGGCTGACGCCACGGCACTCACTCTAGCCAGGGCAATAGAGTGAGACTCTGTCTCAAAAAAAAAAAAAATACTCCCGCTGAATGAACTGATGAGCAGGTGTAATCATTCTAATTACTGATAAAGATAACTCTTTGTCCAACTATCTAAACTGTTGATATTTTTCCTTCTATAGGGAGTAATATTTCAAACTTTCTATCAATTTATAGTTTGGTACAAATTTCTTGTTAAACTACTCTTACAATTTTTGGTTCATTTCTGAACACTGATTTCCGTAGAAAACTACTCCATAGGTTACTATCGTTACTTCACAATGCTATTGCTACATTCTTCGGGGGCTGCCTGATTAGCTGGTTTCTAATAGTACTCAATTACCGTATTAGGCCAGTAACAGTTCTGTTAAAAAAGAGATTCTTGGATACAATTTTATTTTGCCACCCATTTGCAAAGATGGGGAACTAGAAACCATAGCTGGAGAGCTTATAGCTTTGTTGTAAAAACTGGGAGGCAGTTTGGAGAAGTGATTCGTGAGGCAGGGCTCTGGAGCCAGACTGCCTTGTTTGAATTCTCACCCCTCTCCCTCCTCTTCCTCATCTGTAAAATGGGGATAAGATCAATCGATAATACCTTAAAGGGTTATTATAAGATTTAGTAAATGTAAACGGCAAAAAGCAAGCACGTGGAACCCAGAGACACAATAAATGTTATTAATATTGTTGTCAGTGACTCTTCACAATAATACAGAGCAAAGAGCACTGGATGAGATGGAATTCTGATTCCATCACTTTCTTGGGCAAATTACATGACCTCTCCAAGCCTCGGCTTCCCTACCTTTAAAATGGGGTTAACATCCAACTCTGAAAGTTACTGAGGAAATTAAATGAGGAAAACATTTGCAAAAGCAATAGCACAATGCCTAGCAGATAACAGGTGCTCAGTGAAAATTAGGTTAAACAAAGAAAGAAAAATGAGTATATAAAGCAAAGAAAGAGACAAAATCGTGGTAAAGACCGATCTGGATGGACAGCCGAATCCAACCATAATTTAAAGGTTCGCAAGTCTGAGAGAGCCATACAGGTGAGAAGAGAATCTCTTCAATTTCTCAGCTAGTGGTACCCATCGAGTATGTTATTTCCAATCAAGAGGACGATGGCGTTTTACACACACATACGAGATCTATATCTACTCTTTGATACTTGCATGCCTTCGAGACCAATGATCTAAATGTTCAATCGACCCATTTCTAACGGGTCTAGGGATGCTATGGCTCACGTCGTCTTCTTAATAAGATTCTCTACAGAAAAAGGTCAGTGTTTGTGAAACTTGAAATTGGCACATTCTAAAACGCTTCTCGGCCTTTCCTTGCCTTGACATCTAACTTTCCTAAGGCTTGACAGAAGGTCATTTCAGGCAGGCAAAGAAATATTTAAAAAGAATAGAAAAACAAAACAAAGCAAAACATTAGCATCTTCAAGTAAGATAGTTAAAACAGGTAAACTAGAGGGGGGAGAAGCCTGAATTTATTTTATAAAGGGGAAAATGACTTCCCCTTTTTTCTACTACTATGGAATGATAAAAATAGCAAATTTGCTTTTAGTTTCTTTTAGTAAAATCAGAGAAAAGAAAAGGAAACTTAAGAACTACTAAAATAAGATAAAAAGGACATCAAACATTTAAAAAAGTGAAAATTATAGTAT